GCAGAATAGCGCGCTTCTGTTTGCTTCGTGCTGGAATTTGAGTCCGAGTGTGGAGCTGTTCCTGAGTGGCGCAGAGATCCTGCAGGAAGGAGTTGTGGGCCAGGCACTGAATGGAGAGACTGAGCACCTCTGTTGTCTCCTCGGCCGTAGATCTCGGTGACAGCGGTGGCAGCGGCGCCTCGTTGGGCTCGGAGTGAGCTGCGGGGCGGCACGGGCGTCTGGGGAGGCTGCTGCTGAGCAGAAGTGACAGGCAGCCATGGATCTGTGTCAGGGCCGCTTTGCTGTGCTGTGCTGCCTGCTGCAGTGGGGTAGAGCAGTGTATTTACACTGAGAGGAGCACACGCAGGGATCCGAGCCTTTGAAGCGCTCAGAGGCTGGAGCAGCACGTAGTTCTCCAGGGACGCAGCTGGGTGCCTTACAGGTGGCTTTACAACAGCCTTGTGCATGATGCTTAATAGCTGGGACTTCTCTGCTCATGCTGAGCAGTGCATTAGCTGTGGGGTAGAATTCCCTGAGGCTTTGAATTGTTTTATTGGTTCCAAGCAGTTTTCTGTTTTGATTGGATTTTTTTTTTTGGGGGGGGGGGGGATGAAAATGTATTCTTGACAGATCATTTAATAAAATGATGCTGTTAAAATTGATTAAGTTTTTCCTTTTGGGAAGCATGTGTTCTTCACAAGTGGGGAAAAAGAATGCACACTCCTTGATTGCTTTCTTTTATTATCAGGAGGCGTGTGTGCTACATACACCCTGTGGTGGTATTATAAGAACACTGTATTTACAGTGTGAGTGTTCATAGCAGCCTTGGGGAAAAGAAAAAAATCCTGTTTGAGTCTGAGAAGTCTTTGCAGCACCAATGGTGTGTTAGAACTCTGCCTCCCTCACTGAGGATTACACCTTTTTAGTGGTTTGGGATTCCTTTTTGCTTTTTGTCTTTAAGTAGATAAATGCAAAAGGAAAGCTAAGAGCAGGTAACAGGAATATGATCCCTCCCCCGTTCTTCTCAGTGATGAAAGCCTTTTAAAACACACAAACACCTTGGTCATCTGAAAGAATCTGAATTGTGGAAGAATCCAAATGATCTCGGTCTCTCTCCCAGAGTGATGATGCTGAGTAGGCTACTGCATTCATCCTAGACTTGCCGTGATCATGTAACACTTAATAAGATACCTTTTATCTCTGATGTCTTAACAATGATGGAAATGCATATTTTGGATGTTATATTTGGCTTCATGCCTTGGAATTGTGTATTTTTCATATTTACTGTTTCTCACGTGGCTTATGGTAGCATGAGCTCTCTTAACATCTCACTGTTTTTCCATCTGCTGTGAAACTCATTCTTCCCATGAGGTATATAATGGTATCTTACAGAACTTTTATATCATCCAAATCCCAGTGATTCAGACTTGCCTTACAATGTTTTTTTTTAAAAAATATTTTACCATAACAGAGTTTAACTCTTGTCTTGATCTTTAGTTGTTTTTCTAGTCTTGATGATTCTAATCCAGTTTGGGACTGAGGATGGTACTCATAAAACTTGAGGAACACAGTGATTTTGGATACTTAATGAAAGAGAATGATTTTGGTGAAGTGTCTGGAATCTTCCTGAAACAACTGAACTAAGTTCATGTGCTTATTATAGTACAGAAGAGCTGTTTCGAATCCTGTGTTTTGTTTTGACCAAAGTAGATTCTGCCTTTTGTATAATCCAGGGATGGTTCTTCATGCACTCAAATGTACAAATGTACAAATCAGATCATTAAGCACTGAAGCAGGTGTAATGGACTGTGAATTTCTGCTTTCAGTGAGGTCCCTTTTCTGGATTAAGTGTGCAAATATGGAAAGGATGTTTAATAGACAAATAACATCCTTACTTTTCCTCCTGCAGTTTTATTGGTGTAGGCAGAGTGGGTGGATGGTTTATTAATGAGGGCTTTGGGAAATTCAGTGGCTTGGGCTGGCACTGGTGAAGACGCTGATGTTTTGCCATTAGCTGTGATGGAAGCAGAATTGCAACTTTTGTTTGGGATTTCAAAAGTAGCTAGAGTCAATACTGTTATGGGCTGGATATTTTGCTGTCATTTGGCTGGCTCTTTCAATTTCTTACTTTCTTGTCTAAGCAGCGGTGCTTGGTTTGAATCTGAATTCAAGGCTGGCTTTGTTTATTCAGTGAGTAAATGTTTTCCCTACTGATGTGAAGCCCTTGCCAAAGGTCATCTGCTAGCTGCAGTTTGTAGTAAAACCTCAGTCCCGTGAGGAATTCTTCCACTGTTTTCTCCTGGTATTATGTAGTTTATGCTGCTCAGAAAAAACCCAACAACCCCTTCAGTAACAGTGTTTCCACTGTGAGTCCACCAGCCTTGTGTCCAAGGAAGAGCCTGTTACAAAACTGATAAAAACTTTCTTTCCTTATTCAGTGTAGCAAGGTGGTTGGCTTGGAAGAAAAACCCTTATTTACAATAGATCCTGAGGAAGGCTGGCTGTGTTTGACTTGTCTCTCAGGCATGGAAATTTTACATAGTGTGCTTTCATCTAGCACTTAAAAAAAAAAAAAAATTTAAAGTGAAGTTCTTGTAGTTTTGATGATAAGAATTACCCTTTTGTGAAACTTGGAACAGTTAGTTAATCCAGTGACCAAACCCTTGTGTAAATGGACATAGAAGTGTGCATTTGAAACACTTGTTCTGATGTGTAAAATGACACAGTGAGGAAATGGAGATGGGTCATGTGGCAGGGATTGTCTTACTCCTCACCTTTGGAGCTTCTTTGTGGCGTGAGAGGGACCTGGAAAAAGTGGCCCATACTCTTTTTTTAATTCAGTTTATGATAAGTTGTCATCAGAGCTGGGTTAAAGGACACTGGTAAAGACCCAGAAGTACATCACACTGCCACTACACTAATTTTGCCACATGCTTTCCTTACTTGGGAACAACTGTGTTAAATCCTCCAGACTCATGAGCTCATCTGTCACAGAAACTTGAATCAAACACACCTTGCCAATACAGCTTGTTGTTCTTAATTATCTTTCATGTGAGCAGGCTCTCTCTCCCAGGTCCAACAGTGAAGAAAAACCACTCAGATCCACAAAAGAATTGGAAATTTCCAGGTGCTGACTTGCTGGTGCAGTGGTTTAACTTGCTGAACACCTCAGTGGCAGCTAGTTGATCAGATATTAATGTCTTGCCAATGGAAAATATCAGAACCCATGAGAACTGAATAGTAATCTGTGTGGGTAGGTGTGTGGTCTGTGTCTTCTAGGGAGGCTGTTGATTAAAGAAATCACATCTGTCTGAGTGTTAAAATGTTAATATTTACATTGCTGCATTACAGGAAATAAATCTGGATTTTTTTTTTTTTGTCATGCATTTTAGCTGTGTATCTCACAGTTTTTGTGAGGGATTTTATTTATTCCCTTCTGACCTTAAGCAGAGTTTGGGGATGGTCTGATAGGATCCTTGCAACTGCTTGTGTTGTGTACTGTGCTCCTGCTGTGTTTCTGTACTCCTGCTTGTGTTTCTTCAGTTTTCAATGGAACAATTAAATTGAATGGTACTTAAATGATCTTGGGAGTCTGGCTTTTCTCACAGAGTAATAAATGGCAGTCACTCACTATTTTTCTTCCTTCTTTCTATGAAGGGAAGAAAAGAAGAAAGAGTGCTGATAACTTCACCATGTTTTATATTAAAACACTAACATTTGCTTAAAATGATCCTCTCTTTATTCTTACCTCAGGAGATAAGGTTTTTAGCTATTTGCTGGGAACATTGCTTCAGTTTTGAGCATTATGCATATTCTGTGTAATGTCTGTTATTCACTGCTGTGTTCCAGAGAGGTTGTACTGGGGCAGATTTCTTAATGGATCACTAACTGAAAAGAGAAGACAGATAACTAAAACCTAATGAATTCAGTCAAATTTTTCTAGTGAAAGCATTGTATAGATACTTCACTTCTAAATTTTTTTTTTTTTTAATAGAGAACTTATCCCATCCTGTGCTTTTGAACAGGGCTTTCTTGAGGGAATCCTTGAGAGTTTTCTGTGGGCTGGTGTGAGGTGGTGCTGTTCTTACAGATTGTAGCCTTACCCTTTTTACTCCTACCATGTTTGTGCACAGACAGTGAAGGAATGAGCAGTGTGGGAAGGCCTTTGCATCAGTTTGCTTCAATTAGCATCTAGATCTGCAAATACTGAGTTAATGACATAGGTCTTAGCTTCCATGCCAGATAGACCTAGTACAAGTCCTTTATCTCTGCAACCAAGAAAGATTTATTGGCTTTTTTTTTTTTCATTGCTCCTTTGTAGTTGACAGTGGAAAATACTTGCTGTACCTGTAAATCTTAACTGTGTTGAAATGAGTTGATTTGCACAGGTGTAATATATTCTGGTGTCAAAGTACTATCTTGTCAAAGGAGTGCAGATTCTTTCTCTTTTTCCTTTCCTCCCGTTACAATATTTCTGAAAGCTGACAGAGACCCTGTCAAACAGTTTCAAGGCAAAAAGGTATAATTTGTTTGGAATGTAGTGAATAATTACACAGACAAAAATCATACAGCCACACTGGGAGATTTGCTTGGGAGAAGAAACAACAGCTTGTTCTGTGGGTTCTGCTGTGTGTGTGTGGCTGTGTGCTTCATATTGCAGAGGCTTTTGCCAGCAGAAATCAGGTAACCAGTGTAGGTATCTAGGACATTAGCTTCAAAGAGTACATCCCAAGCTATTGGCAGAGCTCCTGGTCAGTTATTAATCTGCAGGAAGTCATTTCTTGATGCTCAGGGGGAGAAGGATGTTATGAAGTGGCTTTTTTGGAATGCTGGGTGGAAGGCAGGTAAGTGCAGTGCAGCCAGTACAGGCACACCTCAGCTGGGAAATGAGAAACAAAACAGACCCAGGAAAGTGATCACAGAAATTTAGGATTGAGTGGCTTTTATTTTCTCGTTCATTTTGAAAGAGTTTCCTGGGGGTTTGTCACAGAAGCCTGCAAATTATCATTTCTGTGTCCTAGGTCTGTTTACCTGGTCCCAGCATTCCAGATCTCAACGTCGCAGGACTTCATGTTCCAGAGATGAGGACCGGAAACCTTCTGAGGTATTTCTGGAATTTGACTTGCATTTTGTTACATCTCTCACAGTACCTGTACACACAATATATACATACATGTCTTCCGGTAATGGATCAATTTTTTTCTGATTTACTTTTTTTTTTTTTAATTATTATGTTTTTTTCCCCTACATTTTGGCTGGCACATACCTCCCCTTCCTCACCTCTTCTTCCCCTCTCCCCCCTCCCCTGAAGATTAGAGAGTTCAGCTGTTGGCACAGCTACTGCCAGCACCAGTTTCTATCTGTGAATTTTGTTGTAGTCTGACACCCATTCAGCATAGCTTCAGAGTATTTCTTGAGCTATTTTAGGCATTGGGGTTTATTTGCAGCTTGATTTGTGAACAGTGGAAATTTACATTATGTGCATTTATTTCATAGTTTGTACTGGAGCTCGGTGTGTGTGATCTTTGCTAAAGTGCTTGTCAAACTAGAAATCTGCTTCCTGACAGTCCTGTCTCTTCTAGTGCTTTGAAGAAATGCTATCAGGGGAGATAAAAATCTTTGAACTTTCCAGGTTGAATCAGCTGTTAGTAACACACAAAATGTGATCCATTTCTTTGCAAATGTTCCTGCTGAATCTTCCTGTCTTCAGGCAAAATACTACACTGCAGACTTTGTAGAAGCTGCAAAGAAAGGATTAGCTCTGGGAGACGGAATTTCTCATTTATTGTACTTACACATTAGTAAGTAGTATTGAGGAAAAAGTGCTTTATTAATCTCCCTAATGACAGTGTACCTAAGTCTCAGAGAAGAGTTTTCACAAGGAGATGCCATTCATTGTTCAGTGTGAACTATGCCTAGTACTGCTGGTTTCCAAACTCCCGTGACTGTCGGCTATTACAGACCTTTTTTTTTTTTTTGCCATTGTGAAGATCCCTGGTGAATTTATTCTTGTGAGCAATAAGCTTATTTTCCTTAGTTACCTTTTGTGCATTGCTTAGAAGTAGCCCCTTACACCTGATTTTGAGAACCACCTCGTGAACGGCTATCAAGAAATCATCGGAGATAATTAGGAGTCTTGCTGTTGATTTTTTGTGTGCTTCTGTTTTCTTCTCTCCCTTACCTTGCTTTTGCTGTCAGAATCTTTGCAGTTTTGTGCTGTTCTCTCATGTTTTCTCAGTCTGGATGAACTTCTCTTGTGCTTCCCTTTAGCTCTGCTGCACAGCCTTTCCCCCGCTGCGTTGTCCCTGCTCGCCACAGCAGAAGCGCGCTGGCAGGAAAGCGATGCGCGCAAACTCCCCGGGTGAAATCCTGGCCTCAGTGAACTTGGTGGCAAAATTCCCACTGACTTCAGCGTGGCCAGGCTTTCACCCTTTAGCTTTGAAATGTTCAGTGCTTCTGAGAGCCAGCACTTCTGTAAGCTCTGCTTTCCTCCAGGCACTCCGATTGCATCAGCAGCTAGAGAAGAAAGAATGGTGTCATGGGGCCACTGGCCTGCGAAGGAGTTTCTTGGCTGTCAGGTGCTGCATTAGCTTTGCTTCTGAGGGAGTTTTGTGACAAATTTATCCAAGAGCCTGAGTTATTTTGCCTCTGAGACTGAGCGAGGTTTGTGTCCCATTTTATATTTTTAGTGTTCTTTTAATTTGACTTTTGATTGCTTTAAGTCAAATCACTTAAAAGTGCAGAATCCCCTGGCCAGCTGTGCTTGTTTGTTTTGTGAGCCCATTTACTTTGTGGCTTACTTTTAATTTCTTGATTGAAGCCTCACAAGACTTGTAATTTAATTGTTTTAAACATTTCAATATATTTCATTACCAGCATTCACTCTGTTCTTCATATGGCAATCATTGTCTTTATTTTTAATGGTGGCAGTTTTTTCTGAACACATGAAGACAAGTGTTAAGAAAAATGTCATGATTTTATGCTATTTTAATGACAAAACCAGAGTAGAAACAGAAACATATGTAGACAGAAGTGGGACAGCACATGTGTGTTGGGAGGGAGGAGGGGTTTCGAGATGTGCAGTATGGCAAGGAAAATCACACTTGAAAATATTCTCAGAAGTGCAATTGGCCATCAAATACACTAAAATAGTTCCAAAAATCCAGGGTTTTCAGGTGTGTGAGTAGTGGATGATGGAAGTGGCTGCCTGGGTAGCTCTCTGTGCACATCAGGTTCTGCCTCAGCCACACACAGCAGCAGGCTGGGGCTGAGGTGACAGCATGGCCATTGGTTTGGGGCTGGGAGGATGGGTCACTTGGCCCCCTTAGCAGCCTCATAAGGGAGTCTAGGAGCACTGCCCTGAAAATCCATGTTTTTTTCTGATGTATCTGCAGTGTGGGGCTCGGTGAATGTTGCTTCTGACCACCACTGACTGAGAAGTCTGCAGGGAGCTTTACCTGTTTTCGTTTTGTCCTGGTGGTGCTAATCTTCTGTCACCTGGTTACTTTTTAACCCTTTCCTTTGAATGAGGCATGGAGTAGTTAGAAATTAGTGTTGTGGAGGTGAGGAGAACCCTGTCTTTTGGAGAGAGGAGGGGGTGGGAAGGGCTGGAACTCGTGTCAGCAAGTGCAGGCTTGTAGTTGGGATGCCTGTGATAGCAGCACTCGGCTTTCTGTAATGCCAGCAGGCTGAAGCTGCCACAGCAGGCCTGCCACAGGAGTGAAGGGATCTTTTTATTTCATTCAGTGGTTTGTTGAAGACAGCATGGCTACTTGTTCATGGCTGCTAGCCCACAGGTTGCCAAACATCCTGCTGGCTTTAGAGCTGGATACCTTTGCAAGAGCAAAGGAAAATTACAACTGTGACACAGAGGTGTCTGTAGCTGATTGAATAAATACCTGTACTGAATGGGGAGCTGCCACCAGAATTCCAATTTGGGTCTTATTTTTTTATCTTTTGGGTTATTTTTATAAGCACTTGCACGGAGTCATCTTCTTAGAATTTCCTCTTGCTGCTGGTCATGGTGGAGTCATGCCTTGATTTCTACCACAGGGATTTTCTAGAATGTCTTGGTATGAGTCAGAGCTCCAATAATTAAAAAAATCCAAAAATCCTGGGAAGCAAAAACGAATCTTCCTTGTGCTGCTGTTTTACAACCCAGAGCTGCTGCAGCTTTTATTGCAGCCAATATGGAGGTGAAAGCGAGTAACCCTTTTAGAGCAAGTCTCCAGTGCAGGAGAGCTCCAGGACCTGTAGTGCAGTTAGGTGGAAGTCATCCTGTCACTATTTGTGCCTTCAGCCTCCCCTTTCCCTGCCATGAAGCTAATCCCTGTTCTGCAGTGGGCTGGGCTAGTGCACTGGTGGTACAGTGACCGTGTTCCCCGCTGTGCTCCATGGTTACCCTGAAGCTGTGAATGGTAGAGTGTCGATATCAAATGTCAGTGTCTCTATTTTTCTCTCTTGGTCACTCTCTTTGCAGGTGTTCAGAACGGACCTGATCACTGCCATGAAGTTACATGACTCCTTCCAGCTGAACCCTGATGAATACTATGTGCTGGCAGATCCCTGGAGGCAGGAGTGGGAAAAGGGAGTTCAGGTGCCAGTTAGCCCAGGGACCATCCCAGAACCAGTAGCCAGGTATAATTTGGAGGAATGGGAACAAATACACACATGTTTGTGCTAGCAGCTTATGCCTGCATTGCCTTGGCTTCCTGAGCTTTATTGTGCAGTGCCCAGCTAGGAAGGCCTTGGTTCTCAGAGATGAAGAGCAACCTGGAATCACCTTTTGGAACAGTCAGAGAGGTCAAAAGTCAGGCCTATTCTACCCATGTCAAACACAAATGTCAGAGAACTGTTTTTGGCAACGGAGTGTGATAACAGAACCTTTAAAATGGCTTCTATTTTAGGGCAGACTTGAGCTTACTTATCATTGCTGGAAGAGCCCTTCTCTGGCACTCCCTCTGCTTATTTCCAAGCTATAGGTTCTTTTCGAGGAGCAATTGGACAAACCAGGCTTAAGGGCTAGAGAAAACACAGCAGTTACTTTATTTTCATAGGGTTTTTTTTGTGATTTCTTTTATTAACCTAAGAAATTGATTGTACAACATTTCAACTGTTTTAAGAGCCCTCCAGATGTTCATGTAACTAAATAATGTGAGATTTTCTAGCTCTTATCCAAAAATCCCTTATTTTCCTTGCCATGTTTGTTAAACTATTTCCTGTTTCCAATTAAACTCTGCAGTTCTAAGGGCAGCAGTGTGCTGCAGTCCATTTTATGCTTATTAGGGATAGGGGAAAATAAGAGCAAGGATTTTTGCCATTTGATCATTCTAGATCTCTTTGAGTCAGTCCAGGCTGGCCCATAAGGCATTACCAAAGGACCTACCAGTGCTGGTGGGGCCACAGCAGCTCAATCCTTGGTACACAGCAAAAATTTTGTGATGATAGAATACTGACTGCTTCTTGTAAGGTGTGTATCTGTCACCTTTAGCCTTGGATTAAGCCTCAGGAAGGTTTGTTAGTGTTGATTTTGTTCTGTGCAGCCACTTGCGGAGTGCCCCACTAGGAGGGGCTAACCTGCACATCAGGGAAATCCTGTCCATTCTTCTTCTAAAGGATTGGACCTGGAGCTACAAGGATAACCTGGCATTTTGCTCTCTGCTCTGCAGTATAGGAGATGGGAACATACCCTTTCCCTGTTCCACACTGACCTCTCCCAGTCCCTGCAGAAACACACACACACCCAGTAGATGTGCACTCACATTGCCTGCTCCTCACTGATTCCTCTCTTCAGCATCTCCTGAGGCTGTGGGAGTGCCACACACCTGGGGACTTGGGCAGAGGAAAAACCTCCCAGGGGATCCTTGCCCTGTATCTGTCAGGGAGATGCTTTGGTGGCTATAGCAGGTCCAGGTACTCACTTAGAAGAGAGCTGTTCTCTGCCAAAGGGCAATAGAGATGTTGCTCCAAATTTAAGATGGTAAGAGACAGGGAAAGAAGGCATCACAGCTGGAGGTATTGGCACAGCAGGCACCACTCCTTGTTTTCTGCTGAGCTATCTTGTGTAGTCCTACTGAGCACCTGCTGGCCAGAGGAGCCCATTGATGCCTGATTATTGTCCTCTTCACTCCCTCACAAAACACTCAGAGAGCCCTGCCTTGCTGCTGGAGTGCAGGAACTGCTCTGATCCTGAATTTGGGAGGGAAGGGGGTAGGTCTGTGCATGGAATAAGCAACAGACAGATCATAGCTGGGGTAGGATAGGAGCCAAAGCTGTACAAGGAGCTGGTGCTAGTAAGGAACATAACAGTGAATAAAAGGTAGTGTCTGGTGAGGGCAGAGGAGCAGGAGGCAGGAGTGAGGCTGTGTGGAGATTCACTGTAGACATGTGGTCAGAATGACAATTCAGCTTTCAGTGTGTACTAAGGGCTGCCTTTTTAAAATTTCTTTCTAGCCCAGAAATAAAGACAGGAAAGGGAGTTGTTTTGAGGTCAGAGTCACTGTGCTTGTTTCTTCTGTGCCACTACTGTGGCAGGGTGCTGCCCAGAGGTTATGATTTCCACAGAGAGGTACTCTGGAAGGAATTTATTTGGAGAGAAGTGCCCAGTTTAAAGTACATTCTCTGTGAAGATGCAGTAGTCTTTGCAATATGACCAGAAACAGTTCAGGCAGTGCAGTTAGGCTGGCAAAGTCATTCACATTTGTATTTTTCACAGCACCTCAGAAGCTCCAAATTCAGCATTTGGCTCTTGCTCACCATTTCTCGTTGTCTGAAATAAGTAGAAGAAGGGAAGCTTGAGGGATGTACAAAGCTGAGAAAGGTAGAGAATTTACAGAGATTTGTTTGTGCAAATACAGCAGCAGCAGATCAGGGTTTCTGCTAGGAGTTAACACGCTGGACCTTGGATGGGGGCAGAACAGAGTGGGGTGTGGAGGCTGTCCTGCTCCTTGTGGGGCTTAGGCTGTTACCAGCAGAGAGTTGTGGCAACACTGAGTGGTGCAATCTCCTCCCTTGCAGCACTAGCACCCCAAAAAATCACCTCCAGTGGTAGTGTAGCAGGCAGGCATTTGGCAGTGTGGCCTGTTGCTCCTGGAGGGACAGGGGCTGTGTTGTGAAGCAGGCTTCATCCAAGCTCAATTTCAGTATGTGCTGTTGATTAAGAGAAAGGGCAATGTCCTCTACTGAGACAGCCAGAAATACTTCTTTTTTCCTTGAATGTTCTTATGGTCAGTATTTTAGTTAAACAGATTGATATAAAAAAAAGTTTTAAAACATAGTTTAACGTGTGTATAGATAGCAGCCACTATGTAATAGAGCGTCCCTGCTTTGGCTTTAGCAAGTGTGAATTTCAGGTAAGAGAAAGCACAGCTCTGTCCTCTAATATTTAATTTTATTTAGAATTCTGGCAATGAATTGGATTTCTAGACAACTCCAGTTAAGTTCTTAACTCTAGTCAAGTTCTTACAATACCACAAATCAGTTTTGGAAGTGCAGGGAACTGTTTTTCCACCTCTGTGGTGCCAGGTGGTTGCTGGGATGGTTAGGTGGCTGCTGGTGGTGGCTGTTAGTCACTTAGAGCAGAGCATTTTGAATTCTCTAGAGCTGAGCCTCTCAGCACTCCTCATGCCTGCCTGCCTGTCTGTTTCAGAGTGGTGTCCGAGACTAAAGCCGTCACCTTCACGCGGCCCAGGAAATTCATCGTGTCCTCGGGCGCGGAGCCGCCGGAGCTGGGCTACGTGGACATCCGGACCCTGGCAGACAGCGTGTGCCGCTACGACCTCAACGACGTGGACGTGGCATGGCTGCAACTTGCCAATGAAGAATTCAAAGAAATGGGTGAGCAATGAGGGATTTGTTGCCTTTTTTTTTTTTTTTTTTTTTTTTTTTTTTTTTTTTTTTTTTTTTTTTTTTTTCTTTTTCAAGCTGGCAATCTTAAGAATAATTTCAGGGAGAAAGAAGAAGTAGTAGAGGTATGAGGAGATAATAATTATATGAGCAGAGCTGATGTGATTAAGCCCTAAGATAGATGCCTTCATAACTCCTGTGTTGTATCTGCTTAGACCTGGTCACAGACCTTAGAATCTGGCCATATGTTTTGTTGTTTTCTCTGCTGCTTTCCATCTCACGAAGTTCCCAGTTTGCCATCTTGGTTCTCAAAGGGAATGTCGGAGAGACAAAGGTAGTTTTTCCATGTAGTCCTATTTATTTATTTTTGTCTTCAGCACAAATCTGTGTTGTCATTTTAGCTCATAGTGTTTGGTACAGAGAAGGCAAGACAAGTTGTTTGTCAGGCTTAGAGAATCTGTGCCAGCTGAGTGGCACAGGGCATGGGACAGGAAGGAATTCCTGCACTGATGTATTGGAGGGAGCTCCCAAGCCTCACTGTGACTGTGTGCTGTAGTTCCAAATCAGGAGGAAGAGCTGTCACAAGGGGAGCTTTTCTGCAGAGTGGGTTGTGTGAGGGAAAGGACACGGGGAGAGAGGCAAATTGGAACATTTTCTTGGTTAGCTGAGTGCTTCAGGAGAGGGTCTCAGTGGAACTGAATAGGATGTGAGTCAGCACAGAACTTCTGCCGCATTGTTTGGCTGAGGGAAAATGCTGTGCCAGATGGAAGGGGTTTAGACATGTTGGTGAACACCTTTGGTTTTTGTTTTGACACTGTGGCAGTTCCCTGCTTTGGGTTGCAGTTTAATCAAACATGTTTTACCTGGCTGTAGCCCATAGATGGCATGACTGAAGAACTGGTAAAGCACAAAATGACCATTTATAACTCTGTTTCTCCTTTTTAAACCAACACATGAAAGCAAGAAATTATGTCTTGGCCTGGTCTCTTATCCAGGATTTTTTTCCAGATCTCACATCAGCCCTACTCAGGTTTAGTTTTGAGCTTAGAGGATTTCAGTTTACAATTTCACAGTTTAGGTTACCTTCAGGAGAACAGCAGCAGCAAGTTCCCTTGGCTTTTCTTAAGGGAAAAATACTTTTTATTGTTTGCCTGGTATCCTTATATCCAGTCTATCTGTTTTTTGCCAAAACCAGAAGAGGGATCCTATAGTGGGATGTGAGCAGCACAGGAGGGGCAGATTTGTACCTCTGCAGGGAGCCCCATTCTGCTACATCAGCATAACCTTTAGAAGTACATACTGCACATGGCACAGTGAACAGCTAGAATTTGTTGGATCTTGTGTTTTGGTGTAGTTTCTTGTAGTTTGTTTGCTCTAAATCGTTACCCACTCAGTTTTGCTGTATGCAGAGGGAAGGAAATGCTCCTGTCAGTACCAGGCAGTGTGTTTGGGGTCTTGAAATTTGTTCTTGGGTGCTTGGTCAGACACTGCACATTGCAGGTACTACAAATGGGCATTTGAAAAGTGAGCTACTTCCTGATCTGCACCTGAAGCACTTCCTTACAGTGCCCCTGGGGCCGTGAGTTCCCTGGTTTTTGTTTGATCCCTGTAGGAGTGCTTCAGGTACTGAGAACATGCAGTGGTTCTGTAAAAGAATGACTGTGAACATCTGAACAGGAGCTGCAGCCCCTGCTTCCCTTTCTGTGACCCTTGCAAATGCACAGGCAGTCAGTCACATGTCTAAGGGTCACTTACAGAGTGAGAGCAGATACAATTCAGTTGCAAGCTGGTGTAAAACCTGCCATCATGTGCTTTGCTGGTGCAGCAGTTCTGGGTCGCAGGGCAAAATCCTTTCATCAGCAGGATTTTAGATGTTCCCTCTTGGCTCCTTTTCAGCTGCTCAGTTTGGGTAGCATGGGATGTGTTGATCCCTGCTGCAAGGATTGACCTGTCAGTGAGGGAAGCTGAAGTACTTTGGTGGAGTGTTTCTCTTCTGATCTGGAGGAGGTAGAGAGGTTTTTTACTCTTTGTTTTGTGGAAATTTTGGCTCAGTTTTTCACAGGGAGAGCTGAGAGTTTTCTTGTTAAAACACCCATCCTGAGGTGGCCATCTCTTGTCTGTCCTGGTTTCAGCTAGGATAGAGCTAATTTCTTCTCAGTAGCTGTTACAAGTAGCTGTGGTTTGGATTTTTATTAGTAGCTGTTACAAGTGCTGCGGTTTGGATTTCTAATGAGAATGGTGTTGATAACATGCTGATATTTTGGAGTCTGTGGTTATCCTAAGTCAGGGGCTTTTTTTCTTCCTTTTCTTTCCTTTTTTGTTTCATGCTCTGTCAGGGAGGAGGTAAGCAAAAGAAACTGAAAGGGAGTATAGCCAGGACAGGTGACCCAAACTCACCAAAGGGATATTCTACATGTAGAAGGTCATGCCCAGGATATAAACTGGGGGAGTCACCTGAGAAGGGAGGCCTTTCAATTTCAAAATAAATCTGAATTATAATATACCACAACGTAATGGGTCTGTAGCCTTGTAATGAATAATTTTCTGATGGATGCTGTTGGAAAAGAGGAAATCTGACATGAGATACTGCATTTAGTTATTGTCTCAGATTTGATGTTGCATTTATTACAGGTTTTCACTTTTTAAAACAAATTAATTTATTGTTGTAGGGTCTGATGTAGACCTCAGTTGGGATTGCATCCCGTTGGGCTGGATAAACCAACAACTGTTGTTAGAAACTGCAGATTCCTTCCAAGTATCATAGCAGATTTTGTTATTGATTTTCTCCCCCTGCTCCATCACTTGGTTCAAAATACTTTCAAATCTTTCATCAGAGTCAACATCTGGGTGGCAAAATTGGAGCAAAAGCCATAGATGGTGCTGTCCCAGAAGGAAAAATGAGAACAAGACCAAGAAGCCAGAACCAGTCTTGGAAAGATTTTTTTTTTTAGAAGTTGAAAGATTTGGACAATCCACTTTTGTTAGTTTAATACACTTGTAAGACAACCTTGCAATTTTTTTTTTTTTTTAGTTTCCCTGGTTTATGCTGGAGCAGGCATGATTGTCTAGGAATGAAATGTGTCTATGTGGGGATTGGCTGTGTCTACTCAGCTGTTAAGAAAGAAGGTGGAGCTGTTTGTGGTGATGGTTATCACTCTCCTTCAACACCTGAACAACTCCTGTTTTGCAGGGATGCTGGAGCTGGATGAGTACACCATGGAAAGGGTGATGGAGGAGTTTGAGCAGCGCTGCTACGATAACATGAACCACGCCATCGAGACGGAGGAAGGGCTGGGGATTGAATACGATGAGGATGTTGTCTGTGACGTCTGTCAGTCTCCAGATGGAGAGGATGGCAATGAAATGGTGTTCTGTGACAAATGCAATATTTGTGTGCACCAGGTATGGCAGCAGCAGGGTGTCAGGTGGTAACAACTTTGCCAAAAGGGCAGTCAGAAGGGACACAGGTGGGGTTTATTCCAGAGAGCTGTGCTAAGAAGGCTCTACTGTGTGACACTTTTCTGTGGTAGTTCAGAAGTTTTCTTAACATAAGAGATGCAGTTTTAGCCTATCTGTTTCCACGGATGCTTCTTACACTGGCAGATGCCTTCCCATCAGCCTGTCCTTCCTTCCCAGCGTTAACAAGTTTCTATTGCCATTCATGTTTGGAAAAACTTGTCTGGTGAGCAGGAAACACATTTTATGGCATATGTTACTTAACTGCTTTTGTACTTATGATAAAGGACTAGGCCTGTGACAGCTCTAAGTACAAATGACTATCCCACAAGATACACAGGGCAAAGCTGGTATTTTCAGACCTGTAGGGTTTCTCTGCCCACATCAAACCTAAACTTAAGTGCATTAAAGCTGATAGTAATTGGGATAGAGGGCTCCGTAAAGATGCAATCTTCTGAAAAATGCGCTCTTAATTATTCGCCATCCTGCATTTTTCCCTTTGGAGTAAAAATAACTCGGAGAGTTGCGCGAGGCTGCGTGTAACCAAAGACAGACGGTGGTGTTTGCTTTGCTCTCTTTGCCCCCGCTGCTGGCGGGGACGCAGGCGTGCTATGGGATCCTGAAGGTGCCCGAGGGCAGCTGGCTGTGCCGGACCTGCGCGCTGGGCGTCCGGCCCAAGTGCCTCCTCTGCCCCAAGAAGGGCGGCGCCATGAAGCCCACCCGGAGCGGCACCAAGTGGGTGCACGTCAGCTGTGCTCTCTGGATTCCAGAGGTGGGTGCTGCTTGCTGCTCGGAACCCTGGCTGCTGGGAATTGTAGACTTTCTGTGCTGGAAGGCACTGACCCCCAGGAGAACACTGCATGTGACCTGAGGCCGTGGGGAAGGATTCCAGAATGGAATGATAGAACTGGGATTATGGGTGTGTAGTTTGAATAGAAGTGTGTAATATCACAGGCTGAAAAACACAGAGTTTAAGTGTTGGAGAGGATAGATAAATATAATTATTCATAAATAATACAGCCAGGATGAGAACAGTCCTCTCTGCTAGCCGGACAATGCCCCTGCCTACAGATAAGTCCAAAAGTCAAATGGACTGTTCCATCTCACCCCCCAAAATGTATGGTTCACCTGCACCTGTAACCCTCCCCTAAAACATCAAGTGCATGTAACCCCATTGGCCCAGGCCTTGTTCCAGCCCACCTTGAAGCCCCCTGATAAGGGGGCTCCGAGGGGCTGGACAGTCCCTTGGAACTTCCCCCCTCTTGGAACTTCCCCTCTCCTAGAGCATCCTTTTGTCTCTCCCCTCCCCCACCCTCTCAAGCCTCGCCATGTGCTGCATCTGGCAGCTTGAGGCAGGACCTTTTCTCCATCCCTAATAAACCTGATATCCCAAGAGCAGCCTTGAGAGATCTCTCATCTCCATTCATCTATACTGTCCCAGCGACAGCGCTCCCTACATTTAAGGTTTTAGAATATAGTAATATACATAAAGCAAGATGGAGGTTTTAGGGCAGAGGGCGATCCTTCCTTCTTCACCTTCTTCTTTGTGGGTTTGGGTGGTGTTGTGCAACTGGACAGAAAAGTCCACATTGTGGACTTTGAGTGATTAGTTATTGGGTTAAAAGTAAAAATAATGTAGGTGTCATTTCTTAATTGGACAGTTTATCCTTAAAGGCCTTGTAGAGAGAGGGAGATACAGCTCAATTTTTAGTTTGTTAGAGTGAGGTGGTGTAGAACTCACAGTTTGTGAGACTGTAACATAGATAAAAACTAATAAGCATCTGAGTCCCAACAAGAAATACCATCTCACACATTTAGTCCTGACCCTGGCAAAAAAGAAGCAAAGACTCCACAGGTGCTGGTCCTGGGATTCTAGGAGAGAAAAAACCCTCCTTAAAGCATTGTTTAACTTCAAAATGAGGTATAATAGTGACTTGGTTAGGTAAAAAATCTGGCAGGGGATGATGCTTCACCTGTAATGAAACTAATTAAATCCCCTTTGTCAATCAGAATTAGGCCTTGGAAAATGAGGCCTTTGCTGCTGGCCAAGCTCATTTAACAAGGACACCAGATATCATTTCACTTTGTAAACAGAACATTAAAGGTGAATCAGGAAAGTTTGAATCTGATAGAATTCCTCTGGGTTCTCATAGTCAAAGTGTTCATCCTGTATAATAATTTTAAATTGGTGGGCCTTACCTTGAAACTGGTTGGTTTGTTCACAAAGTGAGAAACTGTTTCCTTTTTTAAAAAATAATTTTAGATCCTGATAAACTGAGGAATCTGGGACACACTAAGTTACATAAACACACAAGGATTTTGACTTCTTTAATAAAACTGTTTATTTTTTTCAGTTAACAGTGTCATAGTCACTCCGGGTTTTTGTCCATTTTTCTCTTAGGTGAGCATCGGAAGCCCTGAAAAAATGGAGCCCATCACAAAAGTTTCCCACATTCCCAGCAGTAGGTGGGCACTCGTGTGCAGCCTTTGTAATGAAAAAGTTGGAGCTTCTATACAGGTAATTTAACTATACAAGTAACCACAGGTGTTTTCTTTTGTCAGTTTTTAGTAGATAGGAAAATGTGTTGCTTGTTGTTACTATGGACATAACTGAACTGATCTGTACCCCAGAGCATTTTACACTGGGCAGTGTTGTTTCACGTGCTTATTTATTTTGGGGTTGTTAGCTGGAAGCACCTGTAGATTCTTTACAGTGGAAAACCATTCAGAAATGTTAAAAAATCCTTTAAAGAAAAAATTAAAAATCTATAAAGACTGAGAAAACATATTACCAAACCTCAGATTTTTGAAAGAGGAGACACTGGGACAGCAGACAAGATGTTGATCTCCTTTACTTGAGAATGAGTGATGGACTTGAGAATAAATGTAAGGACAGGTGACCCATCTGGGGCAGTGTTGTGCTTGTGTAGAAAAAGACAGTAAGATGTAGCTCAGAATTGTGGTGATGCTCCTCATCCTCAGAGCACTTCCAGCAGCAAAACAATCCTCAGGAAGCTCCCTGAGACAGAGAGGGATGATACTCAGTCTCATAAGGGGGCTGAGGTAGAGCTCTTTCTTCTGGGACTAGCCTGGTGTTACAAGATCCATGGTGGTCAGATCAGCATTAAGACACAAGAATGGTTCCAGTCTTACACTACTTTGAAATGAGTTTATATCATTTCCATTTTCTCCTCTGCCTCAAGTTATTTGATTGAGGCTGCCAAGAAGAGCTGTAAATCAGCAACACAGCAGTAGTTCCAGTGAAATCTATCACAGTCCACTTCCATGTGAGGAATGTATGAAATAGTAAGTGTTAACTAGAGAAAATAAATCTGTCCACAGCATATAAATTTGCAACCATAATCCCTCCTTGCAGGGCCATCCGCTTCCTCTTGGCTGCTGTTACGTAGCTGAAGCTGTTTTTGTCTGTTCTCCAGGCCACGTTCTGATATGTGCCCAACAATTAGGGAAAGTGGCAGCTGGAAGTGTGTGTCAGGCTGGTCAGGGAGCAGCTGCAATGAGCTGGGAAAAGCAAGACTGCATATTCCCCCAGGTTCAACAGATTTCCTCCCAGTGAGACAGGCTTTCCCCTCTTCTCCCAACAAAACATGAGCTGCAGTAAGAGCTAATTATGGCTAAAGCACTTCTCTTTACTGCCCAGTGTTCCAGTTGGGATGCTCCTGGCCTGTTTGTTAGTAGGAGAGGAAAGGGCAAAAGATGTTTTGGTATTTTTTAATTCCTTTTATATGTTGCTTTTATTAAAGACTGCTCATTTAAAACCTGTACAGTTTGAACCCTGCCATACCTTTATAAGCCATCTGGCTGCTGAGTCAACCTGAGTAGGAAAACCCAGAGGGGAGAAAGATTTGGCTTCTTTACAAAACACTGTATAAACATCCCAGTGCATTGTGTTGCTCTTTCAGGGTCGGTGGCTTGGTGTTTCCTAGTTAGGATCACTAATGCTCATTTCCATTTCAAATCCTGTTCCCCAGAAATGTGAGTGGGTCCAAACACATATGTATGTGTACTTGTATATCTATACACATATTTATATGTATTTAAACCTTTCAGCTGGTGGCTGGTGGTATGTATGATAGCATTTTGCAAAAGGAAATTAGATATAATGGAAATGAAGTGCTAAATCAGCTGAACTGGTGCCCACCACTCTATGATGGCTGGGTTCACGAAGTAGGAAGAAAAATGACAACATTTGAATTTCCTGTTCTCCTCCTTTCCCAGGTGAAGTGAAGGCTGTGAAATGAAGTAATGGTTGACAGTGATTTAATATTTGACATTATAAAATTGGGATAAAGGGAAAAAAAATTCCCTTTGGTTGAGGCCGTTTGGATAACATGGGTCCAGGTGCTGGGAAAGACTTTTAATTAAAAGTCTCAGACTGGCCTGGAGCCACCACAGTGTTTCTTTTTTTCCCCCTTGTGCTGGCACATTCCAGAGGGGGACATTTTACTTCAGTAATGGTGCTGTATACAAGTGGCTCTGGTGTCAGTGGGGATATTCCTCTTATGGGTTTTTTTTCATGGAATAGCCTGGTGGGGCTAGAGGTGGGAGTTAAACACTCCTGTCCCTCTGGACCATTTGATCCTTGCCTGGCCTGGAAGCACTAAGTCATAACCCTAATTAAAGAGAGCAAGGAAGTACGTGCAGCTTAGAAGCAGAGCATGGTGACATGGTTCTTCTTCCAAAGCAGCCCCGACTTCTCCAACAGTTTTAGGCAGTGTGCATTCTTAACTTTTGTATTTATTTGGTTAATTGTAATTTATTTTCTCTAGTGTTCAGTGAAAAACTGCAGAACAGCCTTTCACGTCACCTGCGCGTTTGACCGCGGCTTGGAGATGAAGACCATCTTGGCAGAGAACGATGAGGTGAAGTTCAAGTCCTACTGTCCCAAGCACAGCTCCACCAAGAAAGCGGATGCTGAGACTTTGAGTGAAAGCCCAGGTCAGGAGAACAGGAATGGGATTCAGGACAGCTCCCTTCCTGCCCACATGGACCCCTTCCACACCATGGATCAAAACCAGGAGGAGGCCCACAGGGTCAGCCTCCGCAAGCAGAAGCTCCAGCAGCTGGAGGACGAGTTCTACACATTTGTTGAGGCTTTGGAAGTGGCCAAAGTGCTGCGGCTGCCTGAGGAGTCGGTGGAATTCCTTTACCAGTACTGGAAACTGAAGAGGAAATCCAATTTCAATAAGCCTTTGATTACCCCAAAGAAGGATGAGGAGGACAATCTGGCTAAACGGGAGCAGGATGTTCTGTTCAGGAGGCTGCAGCTCTTCACACACCTCCGGCAGGACCTGGAGCGGGTAAGCCCCGGCACTGGCCACAGTTAGCCCAGTTCCCAAACTGTGCTCACCCCAAGCTGCAGCTCAGCTCACAGCTGTGCTGTCAGGCAAGGCCATTAACACTAAATTTCTCCAGAGCACAGCAATTGCCCTTTGCACACAGAGGTCAGTCACGGGGCCAGCAGGTCTTGGTGTGTAGCATTCAATCACCTGCAACTGCACTGTCGTGTTTTCGCTTGTGCCTTTTTACTGATTAACTCTGAAGGCTGTGGACTGTACTGCAGCCCCCAGCTGAAGCCTTTTCAGCCTTTAAGGACTTTCCATTCTCCTTTCACCCAGTGAAAAGGATGATGAAACTTAGCTTGTTTTGTAGCAAATCTGTTTTTCATTGGCATACCAGAATAGGATGATGTTGCCCTGGACTGTCTGTGTAGGTTTGGGAGGTAAATGATGTTTGATGTATTTAGGTTTTGAACGTTTGAAGAACAGTTCTGTAGGATCAGTTTGGTGTTTCAGTAAGTACATCTGATCCTGAATTCTTTTCTTTTTGGATTAATTTAAGAGCTCTTAGAGCCAGAAAGAACACTGAAATTAGTTTCTCATGTCCCTACAGCACATGCTCATGTAGGTCATGGATGAAGGCTAGCTCAGGAGGTCCTACCTCAGTAACCTGTAGGTGAACCAGAGTCTTTCTTTCAAAATACTGTCTAATTTTTAAATCAGGACAGCAGGTTCTCATGGATGTACTGCATCCTTTGTAAAGGATCCTGATGCCTAATTACTCTTACAATGAATTTCTGTAGTTTTTCTTTTAATTTTTCTCCTAGTTTCAACTCCAGCCCATGGCCATTCTGTAGCTGTTCAGATGGCCCAGATCCTAGCTGTTACCTGGGATCTTTTGTTCTTGCTCCATGTGCTAAAGCTTTCTGGTCATCTTCTCTTTGATCAGCTAAATAATTAGAGTTTGTAACTATGTTCCCTGGATCTTAAATGATTCTGTGTGCATCCCTTCCATTTCTAAATGTGATGTCAAAACCAGATATGTGATTTAGTAATATTTTTAATGTTTTACTAGTCTGTTTCCACTGATTGTACATCTTGAAAAAGGGACCTTTGCAAAAGCAAACACAGATGAGTCCACAAGTCTGTAACACAGGGCACCACCCTGTAATGAGAGAGAGGAACTTTAGAATTGTTTACCTCTACTTCTCAATCATTCCCTTATCTGGGAAGAATTTAATACTGAGTACATTCAAGGATTTCCAACATTTTCCTAGATTTCGTGTGTTTGTAAGTCAGGTGTTTGTAGAAGTTACTTCTGTGGTATGGTTCTCCAAATCTGATGGAATAAACTGTCAATTAAATTGCCTGTCAATTCAACAGGTAATCTGTCAGTTAAATAGACTGTTCTCTAAGAATTGTGTTGAAGGTGGTTAAATTTAAATGGTTTAAATTTCAATTGTACACCATTTGTTTAAAAGGTGTATAATACTCCACCTGAATTAATTCAAAGCACAGGTAGGGCAATATCCTGGGAATAGAATTCCTGTAAAACCCATCCCCTTGCTGTCTTCCAGGTGCGTAACCTCACTTACATGGTGACGCGGAGAGAAAAAATCAAGAGATCTGTTTGCAAAGTTCAGGAACAGATATTCAACAGCTACACAAAGCAGTTGGAACAAGAAAGAGTTTCAGGTATGCCTCAGTGTTCCCTTCCTCATGTTAGAGCACAGGGACAAGGTTTGCTTGCAGGCTGTGAAGGACAAACAGGGCCTCATTTGTTCTCATTTCATTCCTCAGAAAGATGAATACCTTTTAAATTACTGCAGTGGCCAGATTATCCTTGAACTATTGAGTAACTAATAATCCATATTTTAGATGGCATCAGTGAGATTGGCTTGCTGGTTGCTTTTTGCCTCTGTCTCTGAGGAGCATCTTTGTCTAAGTAGACAGAGGAGTGCTAGGACTTGTGTTTACTACAAGTGTCATTAGGCACAGGTAGAGGAAGATAAAACCAAGCCAGCAGGATGTTGCAAAACCATGACATAGCCACAGAGTTGTAGTTATGACCTAAAAGAGCAGGACGGGCACCAAATACACATTTCTGATGTGAACACGTCAGGCATGAGGAGCAGAGTTAAAACAGGTACATTGAAAAACTGGTATTTATCTACACAGCTGTGGGATTGCTTGGCTTGAACTTAGTTTGCTTCCGTGCAGGTGTGCCTTCCTCATTCTCCTCCATGGAAAACACGGTGCTGTTCAACAGCCCGTCGCTGGGCCCCAACGCCCCCAAGATCGAGGACCTGAAGTGGCATTCTGCGTTCTTCAGGAAGCAGATGGGCACATCTCTGGCCCACTCCTTGAAAAAAACCCACAAGAGAGACAGGGTAAGAGACAGGTCTGGGAACGACAGCAAATCCCTGCTGAGGCAGCCCAGCCCGAGGGAAGGAGGCGCAGCTCCAGGCAGCTTTTTAAATTTTGACAAGCCCTTCGCTGAGACACGGGTTGTATCAGCGCAGCAGAAAAGCAGCGCCGTTCTACCAGAGCACAGGAAGAGAAGAGACAATCGCCCACAGTGCGAGGTGGCGAAAGCAGAGCTGAAGGAAAAGACTTCTAAACAGAACCACAAACCGCTGAGACCCACGGAACTCTCTCAGAGGCAACTGGAAAACAAAAGGGCTGTGAACCACTCCGGTGGTAGGTCAGCGCCTGGCACTCGGAGGGATATAGTGCCTAAATGTAACGGGGGTCTGGGCAAAGTAAACTCTCATCAGACAGTAGTTAAAGTGCCTACCACGCCCACGAGCCCGGGGAAAAACTGGGGCGGATTCCGAATTCCAAAGAAGGGGGAGAGGCAGCAGCAGGGGGAGAGCCTGGAGGAGACCTGCCGCCAGAACTCCGGCTACCCCTACCTGGGCGTGGGCAGAGTTCCAGCCAAGGAGAGGACGAAAAGCAAGTTAAAGCCTGACAGTGAGAACGATGGCTACGTCCCCGACGCCGAAATGAGCGACTCGGAGACAGAAGTGGCTGAGAAGAAGTGCAGGCAGCAGAGGCTCAGTCCCAGCAGCAGCATCGGCAGGAGGACAGACATTATTCGGAGGAGCATCCTGGCGACCTGACTGGAGACAGCGATGGGGGCACCAGAGTCACTGCCTACAAGCCAACTCCACCTTACTCATCAGTGTGAGAGAGGAGCATTCTTGGAGCTACAGACTGACAAAATGAAAGGCCATTTTTTCTGAGTTGTATAAGTATGTTTACATGCACTTAAAGCTGTTTTAAGCTCTTTGGTTTTGTTTTATTTTGTTGTTTTTTTTTTTTCCTCTGCCCCATCCACACCCCCCACCCTCCCCATTTCTGTGAGAAGTTGGAATCTCCCTTATTTGCAATTTTCTTGAGTAGGCAAAAAAGTGACATCACTACTAAAACAGGAGTTGGGATGCACATAGCTCACAAAAATCTTTTAAAAGGGGCTGGATGTGGGGTAGGCAGAATCAGGCTGTATTCATCCCTTCTAGCTAAAAGGCACTGAAACTTTGACTCCCTTCCCCTGACTTCTGGAAAAGCACAAGCTCTTAATTTAACTCGTGTGTATTGAATGGAAGATGGTTGTTAGACCATACTGCACTGCACTGGTAAGTCCCAGTAGAAATGCTCTCTGTCCCTGGGCAGGGACAACTCTTTCTTCTCTCTTTGCAGAATGTGTTCTGTTGTGTTCAGTTTGAGCACAGGTGGCAGCTCAAACTATGCTCCAGAGTTTACTAAATGATGACCAGGCACAGCCACAACGTTGCACTGGAGGAGGAGGAAGGGACAGGGCAGGGCTTGAAAGATTGGGACTGACACAAAGGATGTTCCCAAATGGCTCAGTTCTGAGCAAGGAGCAGGTTTGGGGGTTCCAGCACTCCATGGAATAACCTGTCACCCATAGTCAGGCACCTGCTTTTGGGAGTGTGATGACAATTCCAGACAGAAGTTTTCTATGGCACTAGGCAGGAGGATTTCCCAAAGGCCACCACAGATGCACTAATGATATGTACTGGGAGAGTCAGGCTTATGACACTAAAAGGTTGCTTTAAATGGACACAAATATATATTTTTAAATAGGGTAAAACACAAAGGCAATACATTGTGATTAGCTCTTTACAGTCAAGCAAAGAAAAAACTATTTCATTCTATTATGGATTAGATTTGATGGAAAAGGGAACTTGTATTCTGACTGTGTACTTTTTTAATAATTGCAAGTGGCAATAATGAGTAAGCTGTGAGCAATAATATAAACAGGTCGTGAGGATACTGTTTTGTACTGAGTAGAGTGAACACATCGCAGTGGAGCATTAGGAGCCTGTACATTTTGGAATTTTTCATAGATGTAGGAGAGGTATGTACCGGTGAAAAAGTTGTAGCAGCAATGTGTTAATGGAGAGACAGGCATAAAGAGCCTCCTTCTCCTCCCCTTTCCCACTCCCAGCCTGCTGTTACGGCATCCACTCACCTTGGAATGCTTGACCTTTGCCTCCCGAGGAGGGAACACTGACAACACACAATTCCTCTGCCATAGGACTGAGGATTCAATCAGAAAATAAAAAAGGCTTAAAACCCTATCTTGCTATGCAAGGTAATGTTATCAATTAAATATTTTACCAGAATGCATCCCTGTTATGTAAGGTAATACACTTTCAAAATCCTGTTGCTGGTCCCAAGAATGATACATAACTTACAGAGGTGATAGTCAGGTAGGGCACTGGTGACTGAGGTTACATAGTCACTCTTGGGATGTCTTCAAAGTACAATCAGCAGACAGAGAAAAGGCCAGTAAGTTCTACTCAACATCCAGCAACATTCTCCAGACAGGCACTGGTATTTTCTGTAAGAAAGAAGCTCATGACCACACAGGAATTGTCAAGCCATAGGTGGAATACCCTAAATTTGGATTCTGAGTAAACCTTTAACCTCACAGCCCTTGGACAGAGGTACCTTGTTAATTTGCACTATATATCAGGAACGCTTATGTTGTGCAGAGTGAATGCCTTAGCTGCTGTGTCCCCTGGCACTGAGGGCAGAAAGCTTTGTGAGGTTTCCAGTGGAGCTGACCCCAAACCAAAAAGGCTGTGGTACGACCAGCTCTGTAAGTTAGTTTTGTCCCTGTGCTTGGCCCTCAGCAGGAGGTGTTACAGGTACTGCAGTGGCAAACCCACCCCGTGTTTTACTGGCATTTGGTGGATTTCTGTTTCCAAGCGTGACCTTTCCTTGTGCTGACTGACCAAGAGATCTTTGATATGATCCGTGTGTTCTGTAGGCTAGCTGAACGTCTGTAGAGTTGCCTGGAATGCCATTTGTTAGGTTATAAACTCACACAGATCTAAATGAAGGGTTCATGTTGTGTACAAATCTTGATTTCAGAAGTTTGAGACAATTGTGATGACATTTGTAAAATTTGTACAGATTTTTCACTATGTGCCTAGCTTTGGTGTCCATTCAGCTGAAATTAATTAAAAGGTGCATGAAGAGAAACAGAAATAAAAAAGTATATGTAGAGATGACTATTTTATATTACATGGCCCAATCCTGTATTTATTTTCTCCCTTTTTTGAAGTATTTCTAAAGACCTAGTTGAAACAGCTGTATTTTTTGTTAAAATATTCCGTAGAATTGTGCCTTTTGTCTGTATGTGAATAAATGCTGTACATTTTTGCAGTATGCTTGCCAGCAGTGGTTTAGACCTCCCCGTATTTGTATTTGGCTTCTTACAAAAACACTTCACTGCAATGGTGTGAACAGCTTTCATGGATTAGTACAGGTATCACCATGCACACTGCAGCTGCAAGATTTTGTAAATTTTTAAGGGTTTTTTTTCAGGACTGCTTGTTACTGACAGCTGTGCCCATCCCATCAACAGCACAACTGTGTGGTTTTGTCCTTGGCATCCTCACAGAGATGTTGCTTACCTCAAAGCATTTACATTTGTAGACAGGATGTAAAAGATCCTTACAAAAATCTCTGTACATGTTCCACTGGAAAAGGAACATGAGGTTTGAAGCCTTGGGTCTTTGGGATAATCAGGCTGAAAGTTCATTCACACTCTAAACTGCCTGAGATCATGCATTACTTGAGAGAATGTTTTCTTGCACGGCAGGATTTCCAGGAGATGAAGATTCCTCTAACTCCAGATGCAGAAATACAGAATGGACTTGGTGCTGAGCAAGAAAAGCAAGGCAAGGCTGTGAAAGGACACCCAGAGCAATCCATCTTGGAAAAAAAATAAGACATCCCAATTTGGGAGCAACATGGGAGTAGCCTCCTTTAGTCACCTCAGGGAAATGAAAGGAGGTGGTGGGTGTATGATGAGCTCCATGTCACCACATTCCTGTTCATGGTGCTACAAGGCAGATCAGGATAGAAACCTTTTCCTTTCCTGTGTCATCTGCTGGAGTTGCTCTCCTGCCCCTTCCCTTCACCATGAGGTGCTTGTGTCAATCCCTTGTGCAGCTCCTGTTCTGGCAAACAGCACCACATAGGAGCTGTGTCCCAAGGTGAAATGAATATAATCATAATTAACAGGGAAGCACACAGGTGCTGTGTGTTTCCAGGAACAAATACCCAGATCCTGAGAAGCGACTGCCCCTTCCAGCCAGGTTTCACTTCACAACCAGAGCTTGCCTTTGAAGAGTGAAGGGGATTAATGGCTCACACAAAATCTTCCAGGTGGCCTGTCATCATCTCAGCTGTGCATTATGCAAATGGAAACAAGGTACTTGCCTGCCTCTGTATCACTCTGTTGATTGATGGAAATCTCATCCAAACAGCTGCTTGGAGCTTCTGAAAAATGTATCCATGTTGTTTTGGAGAATCTTCAACATCTTTTAACCAAAACTGAGATTTAGAGATTGCAGTGGATAGAGACATCTATCAAAAAGAAAAGCAACCACTGTAGGAACTAGTGGCTTTCACTGCAGGAAGCAGGAATTGTTTCTAAGAGTGCATCCATCTTGCAGGCTCTACCTAAGCAGCCAAGATTTCAGGAGGCAGCACAAAGTCTTGCTTCCACAGGGGGATCAGCCCAGTTCGGTCCTCTAAAATACAAATATGGTGAAGATCCACTGCCATGGACACACAGCTTTATTAATCCAAATGAGACATTTCCATCAAGCACTGGGCAAGCACTACCCAGCAGCTGAATGAGAGGTTAGAAACCAGAATTGCACTCTTCACATTTAAGTGGAAGGACAAGCAATTGTGTCAGTTAAGGCCAAGATGTGAGCACTTCAAAAATCAGTTAAACACCTACCTAATGCCTGTAATACATGCTAAAAGAAAAAATGGGAGTTTGGCTGTAATTGTACAATAATAGCTATGACATGTTTCAACTTCAAAAAAACCCCATGTACATGAGGATTCCCACATCTTGGCATCTATATAACTGAAATTCACTATTTCAAAAGGTATAAAGGCTGGATGACTTCACTTTTTTGAAAACTGAAGTAAGAGGATGGAAGTTTCCAGATATGTCCAGACCAAGGGAGCAGACCAACAGAAAAGCAAGGAATTTTAAAATAATTAAGAAATTATTTTATTAAGAAGAAATACTGAGAAGAATATTAAGTATAGTAAGAAGAAAAAGCACAACTGCAGGAAGATTACAGAGCTTAGGAATGAGCTGAGTATTTTCATTATTACCTGCACCTTAGGGGCATCAAACCAAACCAAACTGAATTCTTCACACTGGAAGGCAACAGAGGCAGCTCAAACACTGACCATCAAAAGAGAAACTCTTTGGCACTCATGCTGTAATGAGTCTAATTATAATTCACAAAGGATCTTCAAATTGTTCCCAAGTTAAGGAACTGTAAATTCTGTGCTACAAGGAAAAATTAAAGATACTGGCTGCACATGAGCAAAGCCAAAGTGAATTTCAATAGAAGTGTTACCAACTCCCTGTACACAATCTCATCACAGGTGGAGTTACTGGATTTTAGACCAAAAAAACATGAATGTGCCACAGCACATGTCAGATTTTTTCATTTGCTACATTAAAGGACTTGAATGACAACATTTTGCAGTCTTCTTCCAACCTTTATTGTGCATACAGAGACAGGATCTTCATCCACTTCCTTTCTTACCAGAATTGAAGTTTTACAAGCCTTGCTGTGCTTTTGACGGTAGTGCTCCAATATGAAGTTTCTCCAGCAATACTCTTAACTCCCAACATGGTGAATGATAAAAACACATGTTTAAATGTTTTCCAGATCCTTCAGGGAAGTAGCTTTTTTATTCTGTGTAGTTATCAGGCTGAGCTGTAATGAAACACAAGCAGATGATATCTTTGTAATAATTCTTTGTAAGATCAAAGTAACAGTAGAACTTCCATACTAAATGTGTCATGAAGGAGAGGGAACAAGCACAGGCAGTGTGACTTTGGGATGAACAGCAGGGTTTACAATGTACTCTGTAGATGACTACTGCTTTTGTATTAATTCAGATCCCAGAGAATACAAGATGATAGGTAGCAGGAATACACTAAGACACCTACAGGATAGATGTTTTAAACTTGTGCAAACATTATCTTGTATTTTTTATGTTTCTTAGTGAAATCACTATTATTTCAGAATAAGGTAAGATTTAGTCATTGAACTGACCACAGTAAAAGTGTAATTTCCAGGCTCCCTACTAGTCCAGCTCTAGTCTATGTTTGATACAATTTTACAGTGAAGGTGGATAACGCAGTGAGACTACACAAGCCAGAAAGCAGCCCTCAGCCTATAGGTTAGGAGAGAGAATTATCACTGAGTCTGATGGAATTCACATGGGAACATTCAGCCTTCTGGGGCCTAGGAGAGAATAAAGACCCAGATTAAGAAGAGAGGATATTCCTGCAGCACTACTGGAGCCCTTTAGCAGGGACAGTGCCGGTATTTGGTTTTTTGGGGTGGAGAGAAAAAGGAAGGGGCTTGGCACAGCGGTTCTGAAGTAACTACAGAGCAGCCAGCCTCTGCAGTAACCTCTGCCACGAGGGCAAGGCAATTCTGAAATCTGGCAACAGCACTTGGGCTGCACAACATCAAATCTCTTTGTTATCTTCCAGAGAAGGCATGGCCAGGAACAGCTAATTACCAATGTTTTCAGGAACAGCAAGACCTCTTCCTCTATGGGCACCAAGGCCACAAGTTTATTCCCTTGAAATGTGACATAAGGATGTTTGGGTTTTTATGGGAAGACAGCATCTTAGAAGCATTAGAGCTAAACAGATCCACATAATAAACAAGAGGTTAAAAAAAATTAATTCTTCTTTCAGAGCAAATCTTCAGCAGCTGAATAGACCTTGTCATGACAGAGAGCATTTAAAGCCAGGAACCATAGCTTATGTTATGACAGCTTGGCAGCTGTGCCCATTTATTCACTGCTGTTGGGAAAGAAAATGCCATTTGTCCTAACTGAGCAATTTAGGTCAGCCAAACAGCTCCTCTTTGCAGCTCACATGGGGTCACCTGCATTAACAAGCTGTAGTTTGCAAATAGTTTTCCTAAATCACTCTAAAAAAAGCAGGAGGCAGAAAGACCATCTTTACTTAATAGGAGGCCAACTTGAGTAATGAACTTCTTTGGGAAAAAAAAAAAACAAACCAACAAACCAAAACAACTCAGTGTATAAACCCCCATGGGATTTGCTTCAAGCTGTACAGCTTAAACACTATGGAAAAACAGAATACCGAGAAGGATACAATCTCTCTCCTTTACCTCTCTGGAAAGAAACAAGCATTTCTTACTATGTCTGCACAGTTTTCACCACTGCAGGAGCTGCTGCAGCTGTAATACACAGCCAATGTAACTGCAGTGGGTGCTCCCCAGACCAGCAAACAGGAGCTACAGTTATTTAAGGTTTTTTTTTTGTCTTTGCTAACTTGCCATTTCTAAAGCTGGAAAGGCCTGTATACCTTCATTCACACATTCTGAACCATGCAGGTTTAATTCACAGCAAACTGGTTTCCACATGCAAATCTAAGCTGTCAAATAAACATCATGTCAGAAGGGGACGTCCAAAATCCAAGCTTGTTAAAATCCTGCTGGCAATAATGCTCATCAGTGATCACTCTGATGTAAAATGAGTACTTCTGCAAACTCCATGTGCTTGGATAACACTTTTTGTGAGCTGAGTACCTGTTGGGATGCTGTGGCTGCTCTTTGTTCTGCCTGGCTCAGCCGCCTCTGAAGCCTGTCGATGTATTCCCGATACTCCATCATCAACGTCTCATCCTGTGGAAACAGAATCTCTCATCACAATGCCAAGTTCTTTTTCACTGAATCCACTCATTCTGTAGTGAAAAAAAAGCTTAACACAAGACAAACGTCAGAAGTGGAACTGTTCTTCCTTTACAATAAAAGCCTGAGGACAAAATGCTGACACATCATAGAGTATTTCCAGCTCAAATGTGACATCATCTGACTTTTCCAATCAATCAATCTGCAGGGAAGTTTTACTCATTTCACCACCTTGAAGCAAGATGGATTAAGGCTGACATTTTAATTCAGGTTATTTAATCCATGCAACCTTACAACGTAACTGTTTTAGCTATTTAGCTTAGAAGAAAGAGAAATACAGTAGATAATACAAATGGGATGATAAATCTGGTACAGATCTCCTCTGTTCCCTTCAAAGGGTCTGTAAAAAGCCTTTCTTAACCAGCCTTTACTCACTTCTCTTATAGTT